TTCTTTTCTCCTGTGTACCCAACCAGACTAGATGTCTCCTAGCCTCCCTTAGTGTTGGGTGTGACCCTAAGTTCATGGATTGTGACCCATCACAGTTGGGCACCACTTTCAGATCTGAGCTCAACAGCCAATACCTCAAAGCCTCCATGCTCTTTTTTTTTCTACTTGTCCAACGCAGACAAGCACAATGACCTTGAAGGCTCCATGTGGAGACAGTGGAGCCACAGGATGGAAGAGAATGAGCCTGGGTCTCTGCATCACCATTTGGAAGGGAAGCTCTTGGCCGTCACAGTGGCACCAGACAAAACCACCCCCAGTGTGTGACGGGGAGAGAAAGGTGTTAGAGACGAGGAAGGGGTTACAGACACAGTGACCGAGCACAAGATGGTTGAAAGCAGTGGTCACTGAAGATAGGGAGAAAAAAAACACCTGCTGTTGTGCTAAGTCACTGGGGCTTATCTAATAAGGCAGTTAGCAACCCCCCAGTTAAAAGAAGCTGTTTCTGTTTCTGCATTGAACTGACTGATAACAGTTCCCAAGATAAAAGAGTAAATCATTGATAATACATAAACACATTATAGACCACAACCAAAAATAACACGTGAGCTGGCAGAACCTACCCAAAAAGAGAGATCTGGAGTCATTTTAAAGTTCCTGGGTAGAGCTTCAGGAACGAAATTCCTCTGATGTCCTATCCACCCAGGCCCATCATTCCGTCCTTATCCTCCTGCACCTGCCGCACACACTGAGCTCCAGGAAAACCACGGAGAAGCCCCCAAACACACCATAGGTTTTTCTTTCAGAACCCATAGGGGGTGGGGGCCTGGGAAACCAACCTTCCAGGTTCCAAGATGTCCAGAGGCGGCACCCAAGGAGAAGCCTCCCCACTGGACAGAGGGAAGGCCATCTTTCTCCACCACGGACCTTGATTCCGAGAGCCGTTCCCTTTGAATGAGCTCCAGGAGCAGATGCAGATCCCAGAGACAAGTGGGCGCATCCCAAGCTACAGATGTGAGGCCTGGCAACGGAAATGACAACTCAAATAGCATCTCTCATCGATGAGCTGGGCCAGCTGGTCTGCTCCACTGGCTGGGACTCGTGCCTTAGAAATGGGCCTGCCTTTTTTATTTTCTGATGTGTCACAATTCACCCTTTTGTTGTTTCAGAACCTTCTGAAGCTGGGGAGGCTAATCATCCCCCACGGTGTGACATCTGTTTGAGATGACTGGGGACTCAGGCCCAGAACCTCCCTACGTCATCCTGAAGGCAGCTACACGGTCACCGTTGGTCCATCCCCTGCCATTTCCCTCTTAGTGGTGCACAAAGCGAGAAGAGAGGGAGAACACATTCTTCAGGCTGGCAATGTAAACAAACCCTGAGAGAAATACACTGTATTAAAGTAGAATACAAAATAAACACCCGTCCCTGCTCTGAGAAGATTGATGTTCTTGTTGACTACAGCAAAGCCAGGAGAACCTCTGCACCTATTTTGGTCCCAGCCTTGATGGAAGCCAGTCTTCATTTAGGTCTGCAGCGGCTCAACAGAAAAGGAAAGAAGCCTCAGTCTCTGCTGCTCATGTCAGTCTGTGTTTTGGCATCATCACAACACAATAAACCTCGGCTCGGAGGGCCTGTCTTGGAGTTGAGGACAAAGAGAGGGTGCTCCTGCCTTTGGGACTCTTTCATGACAGAAATGGCACCCGCTTAAAGAGTTGCTACTCACAACAAGTCCACATAGAGGAGAAGATGTCAACTCTGACCCAATTAGCTTTGTATCTTGTCAACCCAATGACCACTCTGAACCTAAGACTCAAAATGAGAAACCAGGATAATAGCTCTTTGTTGAGGGCAGAGGATGTGCCAAAAACTGTACTAAACACTTTCTATATTTAATATCATTTAATTCACCCAACAGGACCTGGAGGTAGGTGGTTTTATTCCATTATACAGAGAATGACATTGAGTCTCAGAAAAATTAAGGAAACTGTCCAAAGTCATAGCACTTGTCAGCAGCAGAACCATGAGCCAAATCCTGTTTTGCTTGACCCCTGAATCCTGTGCTCTTACCTCTGTGCATCTTTAATCGGTATCAGGACTCACCTGGGTAGAGATCTTGCGGCTCGGGGATAGAGACTAGAGAATGGACCTTGAATAAGGTTGGGCCAAGGGAAGTTTCAGGCTTGGCCAGCACTGCCAGGTCTGTAGGCTTGACTGACATCCAGAGCTAGGCCCCCGCCACGGCAATTCCAGGTCATGAGAGAATCCTTGCAAGGCAGGAGGTCACCTCCGCTCTCTACACCTCTCCCTCTCCACCTCCCCCAAAATAATAAAAATGGAGGGGACCCTGAGAGGACCCATTTATGCTTAGTTACCCGCTGGGGTAATTTGAGTCCACGAGTTCTCTTTTTCAGGAGGAAACCTGAAGAAGCCAGACTCAAAAGGGCTACCTATCATATGATCCCATGGAGGGAAAAAACGGATCAGTGGTTCGCAGGGGCTGGGAGATGAGGGTAGGAACTGACTACAGAAGGGCACGAGAGTGCTTTGGGGGGATGATGGAAATGTCTTACATCCTAATTGTGGTAGCCTTTATACAACTCTATATGTCTGCCAAAAGTCATTTAAGCGGACACTTAAAATTGGCAGATTTTACCTCACATAAATCGCATCTCAGTAAAGCTGATTAAAATATATACACACAATTCCCCCCACACCAAGGGCACTAGCTAATGAATCCTGAGCTAACATTTTCGTTGTGTAACTGCATTGCAGTAAACCCCGGAAGCTGAACCCCTCAGTTAGTTGTTCGACCTTCCCAGTCAGGAGACATCCCATAGGCAGCCATGGCAGGCTGACAGGGCTGTGTCCGATGGGAAGAAGGTTCTGAAGGGAAATTTCAGGCAAGTGCTTTTGTAGCCACTGGAATGACTCTGATTGTTAGGGTTACCTTGGCTTCCTGCCTTCTTTCCCAGATCTTCAGAGTTCAGACTGTGTATATGTGATAGAAATATTCATCTGGAAAACTGCCCTGAGCCAGATTAATATAACATCACTGTTTTAACTTGGATCTCACATGACATACCCGTCTTTATCTTCGTATCTCGTTGCATTTTGAAGGCCATACCTGTCTCTACGCTCAGCCTGAAAAATACATAATAATACCGCTGAAAATACTAAATATGCAACTCCCGCCTACCTCGAGAAGTGTGGCATGCATTAGCAATGAGCGTTATGGTAAGACTAACTACACTAGCCTCATCTGTCTATCGTTCCAGCTCTAGGTCACCTGTCCCCCTATGCATTCTCTTTGGTAAAGGTATCTCTCTCCCCAGTACAGCCCCGTTAGTCCCTTTGCTTTCTGTCCAAGACTTTCTGTTTGGGGATGATCTGGAGGTTTCTGACCCATGTTAATACCTCAGTTGGAAAAGGAACATAAGCCACACAAATACCGTCTAACATTAGAAATAATCAGATCAGTCATGCAAATTACTAAGTACATAAGGTCATATCCCAAAAGAAAAGAGTGCGGTCTCCTACAAAAAGTAGCTGCCGGAAAGAACAGATTTTAAAGGAAAATGAAAACTAAAGAGCCAGCCCTGCCTCTGGACTCCTTTAAAAGCTCCTGATGCTCTTTGCTGGAAGGTGTGCGATCTCCTGGGCGTTGCTGTCTGCAGGCAGCCACACTGCATCTCACAGCAAGGTAGGGACTACCCTAGTAGAGGTTTTTTTGTAATAAAAACGGTAGAGTTTAAAACAACACAAAAGACAATATTTTTACCAAAATACATTTTAATCATTTATCAAAAGGGGACGATTACAGCATTGAAGGATAGACTGGACTCGTGAACATCAAAGGAAAGAGACCAAAACCGGACAATAAACCCACCCAAAGCTACAGAAGCACAGACACCAGGAAGGTTCTCAAACTGCACTGGTTTGCTAGATACTATCAGTGTTTGTTCTTTTTTAATATTTCTTCCTCAAAAAACTTCATTTTCTCACAGCGTCCAGGCTTAAACAAAGACAAAAATTGCATGGAACACTTGATATGACTTAATACAAGTGAAGCATATGCTCCAAGGGCTTTCTGATATAACCACATAGGCTATTATTTCATCTGCCATGTGATCTTCCTACAGTCTTAGAGTCATGGAAATGAAACTTCATGAAGAGAAAAAAAACCATGGTTTTGTTTTTCTTATATCCATGCCATAAAAAAATGGTTAATTTTCATAAAAAGCAGGAAGTAGGGAACGGGGAGAGTAGGGGATGGGGGTGGTGGGAATCGATTGGGAAGTTTGGTTCTAATCTGCTGAGCTGCCTTTGGAATGAAGTTATGAGGTAGGAGGGCTCTCCTGACTCTGACCTAGGTGGACAGAGGGAGCAGAGAAAAACCTAGAGCTTCATCTGTACGTCCAGCTGGGACTGATTTACAGTGTACAACCTAATGCATAAAAGAGCCTTTCTTTAGAAAACTCTAAGCGTTTTACAGATATATTTTAAGCATGCTAATTTACTAATCTGCTCTATATAAAACGTCATTCCAGGTGTTAGGAAGAAAAACAAAGACGGAGATTCGATCCCTCGAGGAGCTCCAGGTATCCATCTGCCTAACTGAGCCCAGGTTTCTTCCAAGTATGGATGAATTAGCCTGGCTACATGGGGCAGAACTGGTCATTGAGACATGTTGGGACAAAGAATCCCCAAAAGCCAGGCAGAGTTCTCTTCGAGTTCCTTCCTTTCCAGATGCTGCCTGGACCACTGACACCTTCCTGGGACCCACACTGCCCCTACACCTCCCCAATCCCAACCACCCTGGAACGACCTTCTTTCCAGTAGGGAAATGTACCTCTGGAGGCACACAGCTTCCAAAAGAACTCATCAGACCAGGGCAAATATCCCAAGTCTCCAGCGTGATAGAACTATGCTCCCAAATATCACTACTAAGCAAACACACTTCCAAATCCCCCTGCAGATAGCTAAGTAAGTGAAAAAGACCATTTTTTAAAGAACATTCTCTGCCTCTCTCAACCTCACCCATTTACTTGGGTTCCTGGTTAAAGATCAGATCATAATTCAGAAGGTAACCATCATTATAGACAAAAAGTTTCTGCTCAAAAGGGTGATAGTTAATGCTCTGTATTCTTTCCTGCACCTTATGCAAGGTAATGTCTAGCCTGCCCTCTTTGCCTGTGTTTGTGTCATAATAGTAGAAAATCTCTTCTTCTTTGGTGTTCAGAGTGCGGGTGGCGTACAGAACCCCACATACCATGAAGGCATTGGAAACAGATGGCTTATACTGCCTGGTGTACCAAGTGTTCAGCACCACAAGCGTGGTGTCGTTGAGCTGACTAATCACCATGTTACCGGTGCTGGCTTCAGTTGAATAAATCACCCACAATCCATTCTCATCCACAGCCAAGTCAATATCTTGCCAACCAACAGTAGCATACGAAAAGCGGTTATTATAGGCAGCATCAGGGAGAGCCTGAGTCACTTCAGCCCTGTTGTTATTCAGGTTAATTTTGGCAATGTTTCTGGTGTTGTACCAGTTGACGTACATGAAGTTGTTATAAACCACGAGACCAGCGCCTTGGCCATAGACGAGCCGCTGATCTCGGGCATTTATGTACAAGAGCAAATCATCCAGTGTATTGTGGAGTCTGTAATACTCCAGAAGTCTCCCATCTGTATTCAAAGGGGCCACCCAGTACAGCCCCCCTTCTGGATGCTGGGGAGAGTAATCCCGACCCCAGGCACCATACTTATAGGCAAACCCTCTCCAGTTGAGCTGAACGACAGTCGGCCTGCTGATATTCACCACACCGCCGTGCCCACAGCTCCCTGTACAAACAAGAACATGAAAGGGCATTCTTAGAGAAAAACGAACAAGAAGACACAAATGGTTTCATACCCTAAGAACAAAAGGAATCCATTAAGATTCTTCTTGTCAAGGTTGAGGGACGACAGTGGTTCTGAGGGAGAAGAGCCAAAACCTTCTCCGTATCGGTCTCAACGCAAACCCGCTGTGGGCTTGGAGAAAACAACCTTCTGTTTCCATGAGCGGGTTTTCAGTTTGGAAATGGGGATGCTGAAGCTGCCAAGAGCTGTACTAAAAAGGTTGGAGGGCCCAGAAAGAGGAAAGGAGGACTTGGTGGATGTAATAGATTGTCTTCTATCAGAAAGCGTTTTGCAATTTTTTTTTTAATTTCATCTTTCTTACAGAGAAATCAAGAAAGCAAGGTCATCCCAGACCCTCCCTTTTTTCCCATAAAGCCTGCTATGCCCCCAGGAACAAGGACAATTGTGATACAGGAGAAGACTGTCTTAGGCAAGTGTCCATGCCCTTCACCTTTCTGCCCCTCCCTGGAACCCCAGGGAGTACATAACCACACTGGATGCCAGTGTTACCCCAAGCCAATCTCAGAAGAGGAAGTTTTAAAATGGTGTTTTAATGATACAAAAACGATGGTCCTGTCATGGTGGGATTTCAGCCTTGAGAAGCCATGGAAGCTATTTTAGGGCAATATCGCCTGCCGTGTGCCCAAGGCAGAGCCCACTACATAGTGGCAACATCTTGCTGTAGAGTGATAAGGCAGGTCTTGCTGTTCATACCACATATCTTGCTGGACCACAGAATGCCAGGCAAGTACTTCACCTTTCCCCGTCGGACACCGCTGTCGGACCAGACTCACTGGGGCACTAAATCTGCCTTCCCTATAACACCAGCGAGCGACCCGGGCTGGGCAACTGGGCTTCCACATGCACTCCGAGATGCCTGCCAAGCCAAACTGTTTCTGAGCTACAAAAACAAAATAAAATTCCTCCAGGATTTTTATAACTATCCAGAGTTGAACACGCAGTGTCTAGGATCTTAATAAATACCCTTTACAAACGGGTAACATTGTTTCTGGGATGACAAAGAAAATTCAACTTCAAGTACATTCGAGGTCATTTTCCCTCAGCCGACTGCCTGGAGCAGAGCAGGTGAGGGAAGGAGGAACAGAACCTGAATCACTCGATCTGGCTTTGAAGGCTGGGAGGGAATCAGGGAGCCGTGGAGAGCACATGATGGGAGCTGGAACCAAAAGCAGAGCTCCAAAGAATTACCTGATTTATCACAGGGGGGCGGAGAGAAGGGCTGGTGAAGGGGGAGCAAAGCTTTGCCTGTAAGTCTGTGCCTCTGACCGATATGGAAAGACCCATTTCTCTCTTTGCTAAATGTCCCCCCCCCCTTCTCCCCTCCTTACTCAAGGACTGCTCAGAGGTGAAACCATTACTAGAAACCCTGCTTTTATTTTTCCAATCTGCTGGGGCTTTTTGGTCCCAGAATTATATACGTGCTCCTTAAATGCTCTCATAAATCCGCAGTTGGTGGGAAAGCCAGCCAACCATACAACAGGTAGAGAAATGAAACCATTCTGTACCCAACCTCAAATAATTTTGCATATCATTAAGCAGAACACAGTTGCAGGTTTATTTTAATAATGCATGCACCATTTCATAAATAAAAAAGCAACGCGTGTTCAGCCAAGAGATTGCTCTCTACCAAAGAAATAATAAATAAAATTATAAATTATTATTTCTTCTCCTAAAAGTGATCTCTCCGATGAATGCTTGTTTGCTTTTGTTTATTAAACAATGCATGAGTTATTAAAATAAAGTTAGCGGTGTGTTCAGTTTAATGATAACAAAAACTGTTTGAGTTTCCATATGCTACAAACTGAATTTTCTAGTTAAAATGTCTTCCCGAGAACTTATTTATTTAACTACATTTCACTCTAAGGAAATGAAAGAAAATCACTTTTTTTCTTGCAGGTTGGAAGACTTAGGAATTGTTTGCTTAATTGAATCTTGCTTTCCTGGAAAGAAAGTATCCCAAAACAACAGCAACAAAATACTTAAGGGAAAGTTACGATGCATAAACGTATCCACGCATTATCAAGGGGTTAAAGATCATAAACTGTTCTGCCTTGGATGTGGAAAACCTTAAATATAAAGGAACCAAAATAAACTTCTCTTAAAAATGACTACTTCTGGGGCACCTGGGTGGCTCAGTGGGTTAAAACCTCTGCCTTCTGCTCAGGTCATGATCCCAGAGTCCTGGGATGGAGCCCCACACTGGGCTCTCTGCTCAGCAGGGAGCCTGCTTCCTCCACTGTCTCTGCCTGACTCTCTGCCTACTTGTGATCTCTGTTTGTCAAATAAATGAATATATAAATCTTTTTTTAATAAAAATGACTACTTCTACTGCCATTAATAATAATAATAATAATGGTTCATCATTTTCCATGCAGACCAGGAAATCAAAAATTTTACCTGGTATAAATCCCAAAACTCTTGAAACCACAATCTCTGTTTCTCACTTTCTAACCATTCCTAAACATTCTTTTTTTTTTTAAAGATTTTATTTATTTATCTGACAGACAGAGATCACTAGTAGGCAGAGAGGCAGGCAGAGAGAGAGGGAAGCAGGCTTCCTGTTGAGCAGAGAGCCCGATGCGGGGCTCGATCCCAGGACCCTGAGACCATGACCCAAGCCTAAGGCAGAGGCTTAACCCACTGAGTCACCCAGGCGTCCCTCCAACCATTCCTAAACACTCTCCTGTCTTTTTTGTCATACCCCTCTTCTCGATGTCCTCTGGACCATTTTTAGGGTTCTGGCTATGGTCAAAGGAAATAGAAAAAGAGAGGAGAACTGAGCATTGCTGCCAATGCTACAGATGTGACCACAGCCGTGACAGACCGGAGAAAAGGCCATGGTGGGCTTCCTCGACTCCTGGCAGCAAGCCATCCTGGAAACACTACTGAAACTGACAGCCAGCCGGGTGCCCACTGCTCATCCAGCCCAGCAGGAGCCTCCACTGTCCTCACCCCATATATGCCAAGCTTTTCCCAACCCCCCTTAACTCTTACCCTCCCCCCCTTCATTTAAAGGTCTTAGGGGTACTTCATTCCCTTCCTCAGCCATCACAAGTTTCCCCTGACCCTGGGACAACCACCCATGCCCAACCATAATCCAAGAATGTAAGAGACCAATGAATTATTCTGCATTTTCTGGTAGAAAAGAACATGCCACAGAAACAAGAATAAAAGCACCCTTTCAGCTACCCCACAAGCAAGGAATCCAAGATAACCTGGTGTTAATCAGGTCGGTGAGTTGTCAGAACTTTCCTGTTACTCTGGGAATCGCAGGTGCACCTCGCTATCAGACCATCTATGGAAGGCAGCCTGGTAGAGTGAAATATTGGCAGATAGATTCCAAGTCAAATCCCAACTCTAGTACTTACTGGTTATATATAACCTTCTGAGCATTAGCTTCCTTATGTTAAAAAGAAACAAACAAACCCTAATACCTTCCTCTGTAACTGATAAGAAGAAGAGTGAGAACTCATGTACGGTAAGTCAATAACTGGTAACCATCAGCATTATAATTACATGACACTGGAACTGAAGGTTCACCTGCCTGTCTCCCTTCCTACAGACTGGTTTCTGGAGGTTCCTGGAGCCATCCTGGTAACCCTGGTTCCCCAAACAGGACCAGCCATGCAGGGGCACCAAATTAGGATTGTGAAATAAGGGAAGGAAAGACTGTCAAATCTTCCAAACCCAGCTTACTGTATTTATAAAACCCCAGACTTCTACTCTGCTACATATCTGAGTTTTTCAAAAAGCCTAGTATCCACTCCACAGAACGTAATACAAGGAACCCTCCACACAAGGGTAGCCTTGGTTGGCAATCTCCTCCTCAGGTAATTCATTGGATCTGGCCGTGGTATTCTGAAAATACCCTGGGAAGCCACAAGGTAAGACTGTAACATTCCCTGACTTGGCTTTTTTAAAGCCTCATGGTTGTATTTGTATGTGTGACGTAGTAGAGAGTTTTTAATTTGCATCAACAAATGGGAATTCAAATTTCTTGCCCAATTTTGAAGGTTGGGTAAAAAAAGTTAGCAGCTAGGTGCCAAACTCCAGAATTATAACCCATAAAGATATTTTAGTTTATCTGATTAAAACTTTTACTACCAAAAAAAAAAAAGTCTTATGGTTAGCAGCATTTTTCTTAAACCAAAGACTATATGCAGAGGAAACTTAATCTGGGATCTGTGAGTGCAATCTCCTATCTGGACAACTGAGTGTTGAATGAAGAGGAGAATACAATTCACTTGTGATAATTTTCGGTAATTAACCTGGTCATAATCATAAAATGATGAAGACCAAATTAACTCTGAATTATTGGATATATACAACCCAACACTCTGCTTCTCCTAAGGCTTGGGATTTGAGCAGGTCACCCCATATCCTCCATTAACCATTCACGGAGCACCTACTATGCGTCAGCACAGAACACGGTGTCACTGCCAAGCACGACGATGATCCATCCCAGAGGGAGTGCGTATATTTGCCTATCTTACACCATTTAGAGTCAGGGGGAGATCAGAAAAAGAGTCCGTTGTTTTCAGGAAAAAAAGTTAATGAGCAGAAGGCCAATTATTTTAGATTAGAAAGTTCTATGAAATGAAGCAGAAAAGGATGCCATTTGCGGCATAAACCAAATAGAAAGCATGTTTTATCAAGCCCTAACTACATGTGCTGGTTCTAAGTCCAGCTGACCACAGGGGAAGCACGCTGCGACTGCAGGGGAGGGGCCCAGAGAACTCCGAGTTGCTTTATAGGTGCGATTTGATTTGCACGCAGCCTTTTGTTCTGTGCAACTCTGCAGTGAAAAAAAGCAGACAGGCCAGATTTTAAAGTCCCATAATAGTGAGTAACTTTAATTAAAGTCTCCACAGGCTCACAACTTTGTGGTGCCTAGGGAGTTTCCAATTCTGCATTATCAACCAATCTAAACAGAAAGAGAGCAAGTAAAAAGAAATTGATTTAAAAACATGACAAAAAGTCAGTTTAATATAAACATCATAAATATAATATGAACAAAGCTGGAGGAGGGCCAAGTGGCTTGGCTGAGATCCAGGTACTACCAAGGTTGTGGGAAAGTGAGAAGAAATCTGGGTCCAATTTGCTTAAACAACACAGCTGGGCTGGGATGGCTCACAAAAGTCTAAGTGTGAGGACCTAGGGAAAAGTTCTAGAAAAAAAAATCTAACAAAAATAATCTAACAGACTCACTCGTTGTCCTCCTTAGATATGCCAAGCAGTGTACTTTGTCTCCCACAGACACCCTTGAGTTACTGCCTTCGGACATGTTAGGTCCTTTGATAGCAACAGAGCAAGGGGCACTGCATGTCAGCTTCCGTTCTGCCACTAACCACCTGTGTGGCCTCGGAAAAGCAGCATCCTCACTACCTAAGTCCCCTCCTCCTGAGACACGATGGACCTGAGCCAGATTGCTCTGAATGTCCCTTTCAGTTCTAAAATGTCTTCACTCTAAGGAATACAGAGAAAACTGTGCTGGAAAAATCTATGCCATGAGGAAAATTTGCTGTGGAGAAAAAGAAAGGAAGGAAGGGAGGGAGGGAGGGAGAGAGGGAAAGAAAGAGAGAAAGGGAGGGAGGAAGAAAGAAGGGGAGGGAGGGAGAAAGGAAGGATGGAAGAAGGGAGAGGAAAGAACGAAAGAGGGAGAGAGGGAAGGAAGGAAGGGCAGGATGGAAGGGTGAAAGGGAGAAAGCCTTGCTCAGGTGTTATCAGGGTTTGTCACTGCTTTGACCCCTGGCCTCACGGAGTGCTCCGTGGCCCAGCAGAATAAGCTCCCATTTTCAGCACACACTGAGACGGCTGATCCCAGACCGAATTTAACCTTAGCTTGTTATGGAGGGCGAAGCTCGGCCTTTGTCCTGAACCTCCTCTTTACTGTGACAGACAGACAGCAAAGCAGAGGGAAGCATCGGTCTTCTGAATACCACCAAGAGGCTTATGACGATGGCAGTGTCTCATAAAGCCTTAAAGAAACCAGTGACATTGACAGGGACCCAGAAACACACAGCCTAAGAGGAAACAGGTAGTGGGAAGAGGAGTTAATGAAAAGGACAAGAGCTGGATGACTGGATGACGGATGACGGGATGAGAAGGTACAGGCCCCTTCCAGGCAGAGGCGCTCACGACCCGCAGAGCGGGCTTCCCCAGACAAGGGCTGCAGCTGAGAGGCCGAGAGGCGGGCTTCCACTCACCTGGAGGGTGTGCCGAAGCACCCAAGGACCCTGCACCTCTCCTGTCTCCAGCAAGGTTTCCACTTTGATTATCATCATTAATCATGATAACACATTCCAAGGCATAAGGGCCCATCGTAGAGCTCCATGCTTCCCAAGACTGGTTTCATTAAGCCCCACGACTACCCTGAGAGGTGGTGCGCTCCTCCCGTTTTACCAGTGATGAGATGAAGGATCTTATAGCTGGGAAGCTCACGTCTTTGGGGTCCCAGAGCCATACTCCTGACCCCTACACTCTATGGCCTCCATTCCTGGAGGTATTACAGAGCACCCCTTCTATGCTCCACCTGGCCCTGAGGATGATCGTTAGAGAGTGAGAGGCCATCCCTGCCCTCTGGGAACTCACGTCCCGGAGGGATGGCCCGCCACACCTGCAAGTCCTAAGGCCTCCCTCAATCCCAAGACATGCTAAACAGCAGGTGCATTTAAGGAAAGCATAAAGGAAAAACAAAGAGATGGAAGCAGGGAGGGAAGGAGAGGAGGAGGGAAGGAAGGTTCAAGGCATACCCCAGGTCATCAGCCACAGGAGCCAATCACATCTGTGGCAGGGCACGGATGCCATGCAGATTCCAGAAGCTCTCACCCAGCCCTGCTGATGACAACTCCATCACCACAGAGATGGTTTTCTCATTAGCAAACATAAAGGGGATACGTGTAATGTGTGGATCTTGTCTTAAATCAACTCATTGTCAGTGCTTTTCCTCTATGAGCCCCAGAACGTGATGGCAAGTGGAGTTACTAAGGGAGAGATTTCCAAGCACAGAAGAGGAAGCTCAGAGCCGTGATGAGCCCATCCTCTCTTCCCCACTGCCATCCCAGATCCCTTCCCCGCCCCACTCTCAGCTCCTAACTGGGCCTGGCTCAAGTGGTAAAAGCATGGCATGCTTACCAGGGGCAGGAGGAGGTGGGGCGCCAGGAACATTTTCACCTTTAGAGGCTTCGCATTCCTTCAGCCTGGTCTTGAGAGCCAGGATTTCCCGGCGAATGGCAAGGACATTGTTTTTGTCTAGCATCTCCAGCTTCTCTACCAGGAGAGTCATATTCCTTATCTAAGGAAATAAAAATTCAGAGCGACTTTATATTATTGTGCAATTTCTTTCATAAACATTCCAGGGCGGAATTTGTCATTTAGTGAAACATTGCTAGAGAATACACCCGAGATTCTCCTGAAAGGTTTCATTTGGAAGAATACATTTTATGGTTTAGCGTGAACGCCTGTCACATCTCAGGCAGATGTGTGTGACAAGAAGAAAATGGCAAAGATTTTAACAGATTTAATAATAGAGCACAGGCTCAGTCTAAGCAACCACAGAGGTCCATTAAAGTTCATTTCTAATAACCTTCCCTATAAACTCGTGTTTACTCATGTTGTATTATAATTAAGTTTCTAATGAATGGTGAGCGTCAGAGAAATCTTACAGTCTGAAACATGTAACTAGAATTCTCAATTGTAGCCCATGTCATGACCGTGCTAGTAAATTTTCATTGATGTGAATTACCCAACCAAAACATTAATGTGATGGTCTTTATCCATAGAGGATAAAGGTCTCACCAAAACATACTCACAAGAAACTACTTTAAGGAGGGTTGCCAGTATGTGAAGAAGGGTTCCAAGAAGGATCAAGGATCACATGATCATTCAAGAGGAGAAATAGACCAAGCAAGTCCAAAATCAGGTAAATTGTGGCTTTCTAGGCCCATGAGCATACATCCAGAACAGAGTAGGCACCTGATCTAACCTGGCCATGGAGTTGTTCAGAATTATAGTATCTCCTTCCTAAAGATATTCAAAGGCCACTTGGTTCTGGGGAAGGACCATTGGATGACACCTGCTCCTCAGTGAACATGGTCCCATCACGCTGAACTTACGTTCAAAGACAGATGTCCATGGAGAGCAGAACACGGAACATGCCATGTGGTCAGGCAAAAGTGCAGAACTGGAAGTTAGAAGATAGAGCCGTGGCCTGGTCCCGGCCCCTGCCCACTGAGGAGAATTTATTATTAAAGCTCTCAGAAAGGGGCTCACGCCTTACCTCCACTTCCAGCTGGTTGACAACAGCTGTGCTTCCAGCAACGCTGCCCTTCAGCTGTGTGATCAGTTTCTCCATCTCCTTCACTTCTATCTTGATCAGCTCGAAGTCCAGTTCGGTGTAAGAAATGGTATCCTTTTCCATGATCTCTACTCGGATGGTTAGGTTGGAGAGCTTCTTTTCATACACGTTGATTAACTGGACATACTCCCTCACCTGAAAGGGAATCAAAAAGCTAAGTCAATTCCCAAAGTGATACCATGCAGTCTTCCTCCACTGCCAAGCTCTTGGGGACTATCTGATTGCTGACAATCTTTTTTTTTTCTTTTTTTGGTAAAGAAATGGATCAAAAATATATTTGAGTAGGCTTTTTTTAGTCTACCTAAAGCAAACTAAAAAAAAAAAAAAATTATTACAATTGGTGGGGATTTTGCACTTGCCTAGACCAAAAATAATTTCGCTTCAGAGTCATCACGCACAGGTATATTTTAATTTCCATTTTAATGTTTGAACATATTAGGTCTCCAGACTAAATTGGTTTCAACCAGGCCCTCAATGCATACGCTGTGTCTAAATCAGGGATTCCCAACCTCAGCATTGTTGATGTTTTAGGCTAGACCATTCTTTCGTCAGGGGTGGGGAGGAGGTGCAGCTTCCTGGCCTCTAGATGCCAGTAACACCCATAGACCATTCAGCTGTGACAACCAAAAATGTTCCAGACATTGTTAATGTTCCCTGGGAGCAAAACCACCACCAACAACAACCCCCTCCCTCCATCTAGAAACACTGCTCTAAATTTAAGTATTTTCTAGAAGAGGGAGAAATGCACTAAGTAGAATTCCTTCTCTGACTGCCACATGCATTGAGTTTTGAGCCCCTCTACCTTTCACAAAGTGGCATAAAGACCCGACTTTACAATACATGAGTGTATACGCAACTGTCAAGTGCACATTCCATTAAACGCACCCACATTTATTCCAAGAACTGATTATTGCAATCAGACCTTTATGCGTTTGTCGCATATATTTGAATGTCTGATCGTTAAGTTAAAATACTTGCAAAAATTCCCTTGTGGTTTAGTGTATAATTGGAATCTCCAAATGGATTTTCCAATAAACACATTTGGTGGTTCTTTTTTGTATCCGATCTCTAAAAGAAATGCCATGGTTTTAAGGACCTGCTCATTAAAAGTTGCTAGTTTTACATTCTTTTTAAAAATATGAACATAAGTGATACTTTTCCCCAAACTGTGCTAATGTCAAGTAGCTGATCCGTGGGGCCTGGATGAATTCTGAGCCAGATGTTGGCCTATAATCCTCCTAATACCAAAGGCAGCCCTAACTTCTGTCATTTTAGCCCTTCCACTTAACCCCACTGTGCAAATTAGAGCAGACTCATAGGCCACAGACCTCAAGGGCTAGGGCTTCAGGCAAAGAGGATTTTAATGAAAGTTGAAAATGCAGCCCTTGGCACTGCAAGTGTATTTCCTTGGGCAACTGATGCTCACTGCCATCAGCTGTGCCATCACTCAGAGTCTGATAAGGCTGGTGACATTTTGGTGGATAAGGAGGTTAGGAAAAAAAAAAAAAAAATATATATATATATATATATATATATATAACCTAACAAGTCCCCCCTCTCAAAAATATAAATGCAAATACAAGGTAGCCAGGTTTTAATTTCTATAAAAATCAAGCATAAAACCTTGCCTGTGATAATAATAATAGTAATAATAATAATAAAGCACCAATCCACTGCAGAAATGGAAGTTTGCAAAATGAGTATTCTTGTTGGCATTTGGCCTTGCCAGCTCTTGGAACACATGAAACACCCTCTGCTTTCCTGGAACATGTTGGTGGCACATCACAGCTGTTGTTCTATAGAAACGAGTGATCCAACTGTCATCTCTGCTAAATAAAATGTGGCTCTCCTAGATTCTCGCTGAAAACCAAGGCATAACCTAGAGTTTGCCACCTATGAGAATGCGTGGCATGCCTGCCCTCGTTCAACCACAAAATGAGGTCTCTACAGATCTTTTGGGGGAAATTTTGAGGTTCCTTCTGCTGATATTTAAAGGAAAGCTGGGTGATGTTTAGGAAAATCAGAATCATCCACGGGGTTCTAAGAAGGCAGAAGGGAGAGGCACCTGGATAGCTCAGTTGGGTAAGCATCTGACTCTTGATTTTGGCTCAGGTCCTGATCTCAGGGTGGTGAGATCAAGTCTCCGGCCCAGCTCCATGCTGAGCATGGAGCCCGAGCCTGCTTGAGATTCTCTCTCCCTCTCCTTTTTCCTCTCCCTCCCTGCCACCCGCCTACTGCTCGGGCACGTGCATGCACTCTCTAAAAACATTTTTAGAAGGCAGGAGGGAATTTGAGGACTTTCTTGGCTTCAGTAGATTGTTCACACAAACCCCCCTTTACATATTTGCCTCTCTAGCGTTGACAATGGGCAATTCTGAGAACATCCAGTTCTCCCTGGAAGTGCAATGTCAGCAGAAGCAGCCCGACTTGCCCAGAAATATGCAGCAAGACTACAGGTCTAGCCCTAAGAGGACACCTCCGTGTGTCAACATCTTTTCTGCAAGCTCCTCATCACTACAAGTCTGAGCTAAAGATCGTCTGTGCTTGCCCTCAGACCACCAACCTAACATTCCGAGCTTCCATGCTTTTTTGTTTGTGATGCACATACTACATCATTGGTGGGTTCTAAGAATTGAACTTTTGGGGGGGTTCACTTCAGGATGTCTGTTGTTCTGCACAGTAAATGTTGTCTCATAATAGATAGGGATGTCGCACGGCCGGCTATTAGACTAAAGAATCTGTCTGGCTCATGTTTCTGCCTCAAAACCTGTGATCACAATTATGGCCAGATTATTTGAAATAAATAAATGTACTTGGCAACATACCATTATTTTAATATATCTTTAACAAGATTAGTTGAGCTTGAATGGACGGTGAAGACATATGAGATACCTTGGAGCTAGAGCCACCTAAACTCAAATCTGCCGTCAGTACTTAGTAGGCAAATCACTTAATTTCTCTAAGCCTACATTCCATCCTATAAACTGGAGGTAAAGATATCAAGCTTACAAGAGTATTAGAAAGAGTAGAGGTAATGCATATTAAGAGCCTCACTTAGGGGCGCCTGGCTGGCTCAGTCAGTAGAGTATGCAACTCTTGATCTCAGGGTTGTAAGTTCAAGCCCCACATTGGGTACAGAGATTACTTAAAAATAATAAAATCGTTTTTTTTTTTTTAAAGGGGCCTCACTTGCTGGATGTCTATAAACTGCAGCAATTATTAGAGAAACAGTGATTTCAGGGTTTTTTTCCATCTGACCTTTTAATTTATATTTCACCACACAAGACATTGTTCAATCAATGTTGTTCGTTTTAAGTTGCCTAAATGTCTCCCAGACTGCCTCAACCTTCTAGCGCATGAGAATCCACTAGCGAATGCGTCCTGTTAAATAACTTGCCCCAAAGGCTGTAGAAAGAAAATCCTGAGCTGCCTTTTGTGTCACCCCGTCTTGAGTACTAGCACAAGAGGACATATCATAAACAACAGAAGAGTGTAAAACGCTTTCAGCATCTTACGCAGAGGCAGTGCCATCTTCCTGTGTACTGACAGATAATGCATCAATGCAAAGCAGTCAAAACCCTCTTCTGCCAGCCCATCCAGTCAGGCATTCCCCCCAGGCCTCCAGGTAAATGGTGATTTTCAAGATGACTTAGGGACAGTTGTAATAATTCACCTGCAAATTCAAAGATAAGTCTGAAGAGATAAGTCTGGATTGAAGGCATGACTGACTTTCTGCATCTCTTCTTGGAGGCTGGTAACAGCACGGCCCAGAGAAAAGGAGCTGGGATGATTCTGCTGACCCAAATTCCTGAGCTGCCTCAACCAGCCAAGAGAGGGATGACCTGTCCATTTACATCCCTTGACCTTTATGAACCTCCATTTTTCCATCCCTGAAATGGGAAGAACACTGGCCCATCTGCCTTAATGAGTCTCTTGAGAGTAGAACAGACCTAGAAGCATCTGGAAAAACACAAGAGGAAGCAGTTCTTACTGTTGTAACTATCATCTGTCATGCAGAACTCATGATGCAACTCTCAACAGGGAGGTCAATTCCTTTCTTAGGCCACAATCGCGGATTTCTTGAGGTCCAGCTACTTATGCTTTCAGAATTAAAAGTTCTCCCACCTACTCGGCACTTCCTTCCAGCCAATTATTAGCAAGGCAGATGCCACCTGCCCCCTTACAAGACTGGAATGAAATGTCCCCATACTCTACACCCTGGCAGGCCACACACTTCCCGGAGCAGCGTGGGGTTTCAAACTGCCCTTCACATTCCTGCCAGCAAAGAAGACATGCAAATCAGCAGCTTCCACTATTTCAAAGCAAATGACTCTAACTGAAAAGATCTTTACTTAGGATTTTCCTCCACTTGTTATGTTTTTATGCATAACTTCTTATCTGTACTTGATTATGCTGGAATAAGGCTATGAATATTAATGACTGGAATTTATAATTTAGTGCTGTGCCTTTTCTGCTGATTAATTCAAGGACATTTTATTTCTTAAGAAGCTAGGTTCCTAGTGTAGTCAAACATATTTTCCTGGACATTCATTTAAACACAGAATATTTATCTACCAATTCAGGTTGAAAGCAGGGTCTCACATCATAATTTTTGTCTGAAAGGATAACTGTGCTAGATGTTGAGGGAGCTACGTTTAAATTTCTCAGGGAAACTTATTTGGAATCTTGTAGGAAAGCCAGAGCTCCTTGTAAATTAATGGAGTTGTATTAAATAATGCATAATGTGATTATAGCCTAGCTTGGACTTCACCTGTGCAGAAAATGGGAGCCTTTCTAATTGATTTTTATCTTGACTAAAAATGGAGAAGGGGGCAAAACTGGAATGCCAAGTCACATTGCTCCAGCCGGCTCAGAGAAAGGCAAACCCTGTGGGATGACTTCTTCAGGCTAGAGAAAAGCCGTACTGGGGGGAGGGGGGGGTTGGAGTCAGGGTTTTTACCAAGGCCGCATTACCTATTAGAACTGACTCAAATTCCCAGAGAATTCTTCTATTTCGGTCTAATGCTAGACACATCTAATGTAATGTTCCTGCTGAGACAACAGAGGATAGATAACACACAAGAGAGAGAATAAGAGAGAAATGCACAGAGACAGAGAGAGTTAGAAGGAGAGACAGAAGACGGGAGGGAAGAGAGTGAACTGGAAAGAGAAAATCAGAAAAAGAGAAAGGAAAAGAGGGAGAAAAGATGGGAAGATAAGAGGACAAGCTTCCAAGAGGGGAAAAGGAGAAGGAAGAGAAAAAAAAGGAGGTGGGAGCTTTCCAAAAGTAAAGAAAGATTAAAAAAAAAATTAGGAAGGAAAGGGAGAAAGATTAGAAAGGATGGACAAGGGAAGGGGAAGGAAAGACAAGGCAAAGCTGGAAGAAAGACGAGGAAGAAGACCAAAAGGACGAAGAAACAACAGAACCAAAAACCACATAAAAATTGCAGGACTGGGTTTCACAGGGAGAGCTCAGAGCTTCTTTCCAATCACATGTGCAAAATACTCAGGTGAGTTTATCGGTGGCATTCACAATCTCTGGCCCATTTTCCTCCTGCGTCCTCATTTCTCCCGCTCTAAAGAGCTCCGCAGGCATACGGTAAAGTAAATGCTAACGCCACCACAGGAGGCAAGCGTGCTGGCTTTGGCACAATGAAGAAGGCTGCTTATCCAGTCCGAATAAAAAGGGTTTTGTTTTGTTGGTTGGTTTGTTCCTGTCAAGATTTGGTTGGAAGAGGAAGAAAAGCAATGCTTACTTTAGAAAGCTCTTTCTCAAACTTCTGGGAGAGCACGTGAGCCATGACTTCCAAGCGTTCCACTCTCTGCACGGGAAAGGCTGTGTCTGGGAGGGTCACGGAGCACTGGCAGGTGCCATCATCATCCTCGAAGCCGGTGAAATTGGAAAGCGACTGTAAACGGGAATAAATTCAGCATCAGTAATAAGCTGGGAAATGAGCTTTATGGGAACTGGAGTGACAGAAATTGGCCTGTCAAGAGTGCTCAGAGGTAAGCAAGTGGAGTCCAATACATAAATGAATCGAATCGGGGTGCCTGCGTGGCGCAGTCGGGTAAGTGGCTGCCTCTTGATTTCGGCTCAGGTCCTGATCGCAGAACCCTGATCTCAGCGTGGTTAGATCGAGGCCCTCCGGGCTCATGCTCAGTGGGGAGTCTGCTTGAAATTCTCTTTCCCTCTCCCTCTGCCTGTCTGCCCCTCTCCCCATTCACACTCACTCTCTCTCCAAAATAAATAAATTTTTAATAAATGAATGAATGAATGAAGAGGATCAGAGCCACAAGCTAAAACTGCCATGTTTCCCAGGCAGTGATTGCACTTAGTTCAGCCACATCTTCACCAGCCAGGCTAAGCCACTGTCAGACTCCTTTACCTAGAGGAAGATTCTCCTTTCTTGAGGAGGCTTCAAGGAAATTATTAGTGTTCCCACATAAGGAAAGGGAAAGAAGGAACTGATGGGCAACCTACATTTGAATTCTGGTTCTACTACTTACTGGACACGAACCCTCTGTAAGTCCCTTGCTTTCCTCATCTGTCTAATAGAGATAACGTGCTTCACAATGTCATCCCCAACAGTGACTACGTAATGTAAACCAAGTCCATGGCATGTGGCTGGTGATCAGTAAATGTCACTTTCCCTTTCCTTCCATGCACTCATTTTCTTTACCCTAACCCCAACCCAATGCCTTCCAATAAATGGAATGGGAAAACCATATCATGGATATGGAAAACCATCATGGATATGGGTTACAGGGAAAATATACAATGCAAATTCACATCCTCTCTTCACCCGGAGTTATATAATTAACATGCTTCAAAATGGAAACAAACCAGCCATTTTTAAAAGACTGAATAATGTGGGAGTTTGAAGGTTTTGTGCAAAAAAAAAGTTTTCCAGCTTACCACTTGCAGAAAAGTCATTTTAAAATATTTGATGTTTCTTTAAGATATTCAGGCTCACACTTTGGTGCCGCTGCATATTTTAAAATGACAGGTTTGAAAGATCCTGTTTTTCCTTTGTCCCCTTTGAACTTCCCCAAGGGGATCCCAGCACAATTAACATTTTTTTTTTATTACTACTGTTGCCTTCCAGAGGAATTCTGTCAGCCGGCTGGTTGAGCTTTACAATGATCTCATCTGATGGCCAGGCCAAAGCTCACCTGTGGAACCTGAGACTGAAATGTCTCTGAAACTACCAAGGACAGAGCAATGGCTCACAGACATTGAAGAGATGCAGGCCACACCTCTCCAAGTTTAGGAGGTCAGCTGGCTGCAGCTGAGACGGGGTGTTCTGTGCATTTAATATGTATCAGCCTCCATGATTTCCAAACAGGCTGGATCTAGATGCTTCCAAAATCAAGACGTCTTCTGTCAGTGACCCCTGGACCAATTAATTCAGGCTTTTTTGCAACTAAATTGCTTATCAATTTAACCTAATCTTCTTTAGGATGAGCAAACACACACACACACACAATGTTTATATACATATAGATGCCAGGTAAATTCTTGACATTGGTCTCAATTCCCTTTGCCAATCACTTCCCACACCCGCAGGAACTGGGGAGTTAGGAGGAGAGACAAGCAGGTTTATGCTGAACCTGGGGCTGGGTATTTGCCCAGGATGAAGAAGGCCTAGACAAGCGACCCCAGAAGTCTGCCAGAGAGACCAGCTTCCCTTGGAAGCAGCTTTATCACTCCCACCGAAGCTAGAAAGACTCCCATTCAAGCACACCAAGGCTTTTACAGGAGGACCAACGTAGCGTGGACTTCCAAAAAAACCAGCTTATTATACCAACTGTCTACCCTCAAAAAAATGTCTTGTGTTGCATTTTGACAAGGGGAGGTTAATTAGCTGCACAAGACAGGGTTGAACCACTCTTAGAGTTCACTGAAAAGCCCTGTCAAATCAGAAAATAGTGGAGATCATCAAGCAGTCGCTCGATGATCAACTAGAAACCACCAGCTAACAACTCTGAGTCCTGAAGTTCACCTGAAAGGCAGGCAAATAATTATGAGCCCTGCTGACAGCCATTCCACTGTCTTCTATTGAACATCTCTGTCCCAGTACTTTGGACTCCCCAGCTTCCAACCTGCTTATCATCAGCCCAGCATGCGCAGCTGACATCAAAATGGTCCATAAGTTTGATCAGTGTCTCCCATTAGAGATATTTCTGCTCCTCACATTCAAAGACAATGAAGCTAATGGTGACGGGTCTCTCTCTCTTTGCAGTGAATGCTTGAACTCTACGTGAGTGTAACAGGAAGAAGGGGAGACATAGACATGTTCTTGTCCCCTTGGCCTTTGAGAGGGTCTGCAATCTCCCTTGTGGGGGACAAATAGGACCTTCTGTACCTTATAAGACACCTCACACTGATGGGGTCTCATGCAGCATGTGTTCAATTAACATTTACTGGTGTCTACAGCTCGCCAGGCTGTGGCATTAGGGAGACAAGTAAGACCCAATTCCTGCCCAGTGAATCAGGCCCATTGTCACAAGAGAGCCTTCCTGTCCTTTTTTCAACAAACTCAAGCCCCTTAGCCTGATGACAAAAGCACACGACTCCATGTTCCGACTCTGCCAGTCACCATGTAGAACAAAGCATGGCGCCTTCTCTTGTCTGTGAAAGGAGGACCCCGATAGCTCCTTCTTTGCAGGAGGATATCTGAGGCATGTGGAGTGCTCGCTCAGAGTGCTGGAGCTGAAGGTGTGACTCACATTTGTGATTTAAGGTTGCAATTGGCTCTAATTAGCAGCCACGTCTAAGTGCCTGTAAAGATTCAAGGCATAAAATAATGGTACTCAACATTTTCAAAGTACAGAAAATGATACGTTTGGAACTTGCTCAATGACAGTTATAAAGGGGTTTTCCACCACTTTCCAAAGAGCTCATCAAGCTGACAGCCAGCCCTAGAAAATTGGGTTTATAGTAGAAGTGACACCTAGCCTGCTGTAAAAAAGAAGTTGGGGTAGTAATACTGACTCACCAGAGGGAGATAAGTAAACCAGGAAGGAAATTAAAACCTCTAAGTACAATTTAACTACTAGTCCTTATCTACTTTTAAATAGTTATCTTTTTACCAGACAACAGACATACTGGATTTCCTGGTTTCTTGACCTATATTTTATTTTCTGTTATTTTAACTGGTCATCTGTTGCTGATAGATGATGAAGGCTTCAAAATAAATTATTTATCATTAACTTCTTTCTTCAAAGTCAGCCAGTTCGAATTGTCCCCAGAAGTTACTTATTAGCATCATGGAATAAAACAATGCATCTGATTTCTGGCTACAAAGACTATCTGGGCATATCTGTTATTCCCAAACTATTCTCCTCTTCAAAATAAGTTTTTATCTCTACTCTCCACCACCCCAAAACCTACAAGGCTGCCTAGGGAAAATGGGGAAGAGGATGGGCAGACTAAGTCTGAGTTATGTAATCTGTTGGCTTAGTGACTTTACACCAATGATGTCACTTCTTTAAGCCTCGGTCTCCAATATCTCTAAAATGAGACCATTAATTTTACCGATCTCTGAGCATTAAATAAGATAACACATTCTATGATATTATGTACTAAGCGAGCCCCATCATTTATTAGGCACTCAGTGAACACTGTTCTGGCAGTTTCTATCTGGGTCCTACCCAAACCGTTCATTAATCAACAGGTTTCCTTTGCCTACATTGTTCTTTTATTCTTAAGATTTATTATTTATTTTTTTTTTAAGATTTTATTTATTTGACACAGAGAAATCACAAGTAGGCAGAGAGGCAGGCAGAGAGAGAGAGAGGAGGAAGCAGGCTCCCCGCAGAGCAGAGAGCCCGACGTGGGGCCCGACGTGGGGCTCGATCCCAGGACCCTGGGATCATGACCCGAGCCGAAGGCAGAGGCTTTAACCCATTGAGCCACCCAGGCGTCCCCAAGATTTATTATTTATTTGAGAGAGAGAAAGCACGTGCACACAGGGGGAAAGGCAGAGGGAGAGGGAAAGGGACAAGCAGACTCCCCACTGAGTGAGGAGCCCAAAAAGGATGAGGGACCCCATCCCATGACCCTAAGGTCGTGAACTGAGCTGAAATCAAGAGTTGGGTGCTTAATGCACCAGGCCACCCAGACACCCCTGCATTGCATTGCTTTTGCCTTTGCTTTGATGGCAAAAAGGAAACTTCAGAAAAGCCTTCTCCTCCCATTTTCCCAATGGCCCTTCCATTCAGACTCAAGCATGTCAGCAGCAACCTGACCTGTGAATAAAGATCATAAAAGTGCACAGGGACAGCCTTTGGGGAAGTTAAGGCTCCTCCACCCCAGGGCACACCGCAGCAAGGAAAGCCTGGGTCTGACAGAGCAGGGCTCCTACAGCAGCCCAGAGCCCGTGTGAGCTGGAAGGAGGAAATGCCTCCTGACCCCTAAAGTCTCACAGCTCCCTGACTCTTCCCAGCAACTTAAAGATGATACAAAGAGGTCTCAGCTCCCAAGGAATGAGGCTCAGGACACAGCCTAGTAATGTGGCCTAGCTGGGACAGTCCCTTTCCAGCACATTCTTTGGTTTTTGCTGTTGTTGTATGTTTTGTTTTGCCTATTTATTGTTACTGCTGTTGTTGTGAAAATGGCTTTTATGATTCCCTACGGGGAACATGGGAGAGACTTAATACTCTTCTGGGAACATATCCACACATAAGAGCACTTTCCTAAAGACCTTCCCTACTTCTGTCATCCACCTCCTCCACAAACTAGGTTCAGGGCTCCAGCTGGAGCACTGTAGCTCCCACTCCCTTGGGGCTATTCTCAACCGTCCTCAGGGTCCCCAGTGGGAAGCAAACCAGACTAACTTTTCTGTATCTTCTGTTGGCAGGACCCCTTCCCTAAGAGTTCTCATCTAGGATAGAACCTAGACATCTCTATTTTTAGAGTCCCCCTCTCACCCTCACCCCCTACCCCTAATTCCAAGTTGCAGCCAAGTTTGAGAACCTCTTTCAAGTTTGGATTCTTTCCCTAAAGCCCCCCAGTGGAAGCCCCCCTTATTCCTCATTCTTTTACCCAGGTTTTAATTCATTTCCGGGGCACCAGCAGGAAACAGAGGGAGCTGTAAATCTGTTAAGAGTACTCGGGTCTGGCCATCTATGAAATTATATTCAGATCCCCAAAAAGCGAGAAGAAGGGAATGAACACAGCTCTCGGACTGTGGGGCGTCCTCACCTGAGACACGGAGCCAAGGCTGGGACCAAAGCTGTTCTTGAAGCCGGATCTCAACACAGAGTCAGAGAAAGAACTGGAGGGGGTGCTTGGGATCAGGGGCTCCAAATCCCCTGTGGTCTGGCCAAGGACGAACGGAAGGGTTAGGAGGCAGAGGAGGCCTGACATCATCTTGTGCTCTTAAGTGGAGCCCCTGGCTTCTGCAGAGCCCAGGGGCTTCTTATAATGCCCAGTGGGGATTTCCCTACATTCAGTTTCCAGGAATAGGAAGCCGCCAGGGAGCATGTGACCACCCCAGAAGGGTCAGAACACCCAGGAACCTGAGCCACTTTCACACCTTGTCACTGAGCCCCATTCTGGCAGCTGCCCTTAGAGCTAAGTATCTCTTGCCAAATATTAACTCAAATGTGTTTTTTTGACACCCAATATCTGGTTTCCAACTTGTTACTTCCTTGAAAGAGATGGGTTCAAAGCAATCTTTGTGGATGAATTAGAGCTTAACGGTCCCAGGCAGGAAAAACAAGCCTCAGTCCTTTGCCCAGAAGCGGTTTCTAATTGTTCCCCGGGCCCCCGCCCCAACCTCCCATTTTACTGAATGATGTTTCCCAGAGAAAGTTAGGGAACCTCGTTCAGAGACTGTGAATCTCCCCAGGGGAACTCCCTCTTTAGCTACTACTCCCCAAGCTGTCTCTGATGGCCCCCTTATAGAGTCTGCTTCTGGACAATTTTTTCTCAAAAACCTCCCACGGAGGGAGAGATCAGCAGTGTCTTCACTCTGGATGCTCGGTGAGGGCTCCACACTAACAAGCACTTACCATGGTGAGCTAGAGGAAGGAGAAAGACTCTGAACAGGAAGCTGCCCAGACCTGTCAGGGGGGTTCATGGCGAGTAGTTCTCCAGAAGCCTCTATCCAACTGACCTCCACTGGTCTAGACTATCTGGCCCGCTGATCAAGGCATGTTTATCATGAAACCAAGAAAGAGCAATGCACCTTCAGGCTCCATTTGGAAAATCTGCCTTCCTCCCCATAGAGTAAAAAAGTGTTGGCCTGAATATTAAAAATCGGCTTTCTCACTCATTAATTAGTGGCCTTAGGCAAATCACTTAGCCCCTCTAGTGTTGTAACAATTCCTAAATTGTTAGAATTAAATGAAATATTATATGAGAAGTTGCTGATAAGCTCTGAAACACTATACAAATGTTGTATTTTATGTTTTTGGGGTTTTATCTGTAATTTCCTAAAACCTGGCTCCTTATGTAAGATTGTTGGGCGCATAGCAGGGAAAGAAGTCCCCTTCCCCACTTTCTTCCTTATCCTGCCTCAGGAATGCTTTGGAAAACCTGGTCTGAAGGGTTCTTTCACCGCATAAAATCTCAAATGTTAATGTGAAAAACAGAGCCTTAAACCTGTAGTAAATGATTCAGATACTCAGAGGAGGGGAAGGGCAAGAAAAATATGAAGGAATGAATGAATGAATGAAGAGTGAGGGAAGGAGGATAGGAGAGAAGGGGAAATGAAGTCTCTCTCTTTGTGGCGTACCCAAGGCCACTGGGGCCACATCCCACATCTGGGGCCCCACATTGCCCCTTGCCTCCGGGAGCTGAGCAGATGTCCCACCTAAATCAGTCTCCCCAACTTTAGGATCCAGCCATCCAGGCTGCCATGACTGCCTCCCCACTGAAACACCTCACTTGAGTCACACAGGATGACTTCACAAGCCACTCTTACTCCCGTAATCACGTGGATGTGGTGATCAGAGGCAGTTGGAGTAGAACTAGAAAACATGGGAGCCTTTTCTGGGACTCTCTGGAAATAGCAATTCCCCCTACATTATCTGCTCCAAAGGGAATCTGCGGTGGAGATTGAGGTCATGGGCAGGGAATCTATGGCCAGCTGTTAGGGGGTAAGGGGAGTATTTCATAGCCCCCGCCTCTCATATTCTGCCCTATGTAGAGTTACCAGATTTAACAAATAAAGATACAGGATACCCAGTCCAATTTGAATTTCAGATAAATAGTGAATCATTTCTTAATACAAGTATATCCCATGTAATATTTGGGACATATTTATACTAAAATAAAAGGATGTTCTTTATTTAACATTCAAATTAAACCGGATGTCCTATATTTTATCTGGAACCTACTACTGAAGGCTGCTCTCGCCACCTGGACAGAGCCTCCTGGGGCAGGATAGTTGCTGCAAACGTCACTTGTCCCTATGGGAAGCAATTCAGCCTCGGCCTCTTTGGCTTAATGTTCTAGCCATTCGCTGCCCAGTCTAAAACAGGAGAAGCAAGGACATGTGTGAGAATGAACACTGGCACGCCAAATGCATTATCTTGAGACTGAAAGCTACAACTGCAGTTATAGGAGGAGAGCCTTCCTCTCCCTGCCATTGCATTTCCTCTCCTCCGCCAGATCCCCATCATAGCAAAGGGCAAAATCTCTTCTCATTTGCAGGTAACCTCTGTCTGTGGCTATAATGAGCTTTCCTTTTCCCTTTTATCAAGGAGCATGTCGGTGCCCTTGCCAGGAAAAAAAAAAGAAAAGAAAGAAAAAAAAAAATCCCTCATTAACAATAATAGTCTGTAGCCATGGCTACCTTTAGGGGCTTCTATGACCAATCCTTTAGGAGACCCCTTTCCAGAGGGATTACCTTCACACAGGAATGAGGCAGCAATTCTCCCAAACACAAATGTGCCCCAGCCAGAAAAGAACCCTCTACCCCCCACACGGTGCTCTTAAGCTGCTTTGTTCCCGTGTGCCTCCAGTTCTCAGAATAAAACTTTAATCTATGTGGTAGCCTCAAATGCACAAAAGAATTGGTGATGCCTCAATAATGAGATTATTAATAATAATAGTTTGATCAGTTCCTCTGCAAATATCTTTGTCCTAAGAAAAAACAAGCCTCCTGGTTATGTGACAGCCTCAAAGACAGGAGAAAATTATCAGCACTGCAAAGCAAACAGTGTATTATTTATAAAAATTTGTTCTGACACTGGGTTCTCTCTAGAGTAAGAGGGTCACTGAAATTCACTTGAGTAACAGAGCATTCCTCACTGACAGCTTGAAGCAAAGTTACTGTTTATGCACTTCATTAGGGGAAATCCCTAAAGCTGTACTTCTTGAACAGTTGCAACAAACAGGAAAGATGTCCATATAAATATAGCCTTAATTTAATTCCCTTGTCATTAAAAACCAATGCCAAGCATAACTGTGGTACTTTCAGAAGAGAGTGTCTTTAGGGTATCTGTCTACAAAAGATGATAGAAGTCATGTTTATTTCATAGACTGATTAAAAAGATTGTGTTGGGGTGACCATTTTCATGTCTGGTCTCTGTCTCTGTCTCTGTCTCCCAAAGCCCTCAAAGCTCTATTAGCAATTCCAGTAATCGTGTGTAAAAACAATAATCAACTGACACCACTCATGCACCCTAGAAAGAAGGTTAGCGATATGTAGTGGGCCCTCATTAACAATGTGTAGTGGGCCCACTCTGTGCCAAGCATCAGGCCCTATGAAGAGTTATCAAGTAAGAGAAAAGCACATAACTTTTGCTAATGACAATGTCTAAGCCCTCTGTGAAGGCAGGCCACATTAAAGAATATTCTAGAAATAATAACAAATTGAACACAAAACTGAGGAATGATTGCATAGACCATGGTGACCGAATCCAAGTGGCAATAGGGGAAAGCTTACCAGATGGTGAGCTTCTTAAGGATGGAGATGAAGACCTTGTTGGTTTTGAACCTAACAATGTAGCTCAGTGCTTGGCACTTGGTGGTAGATAAATATTTGCTCACTGGAAAAATATATTTCATAAATACATGAATGAATGAATGAATGAATGAGTGAATGAGTGAATGAACAGATTGACTTAATAAAAATTACAAAGGAGGGTGGCTCAGTCAGTTGAGTGTCCCACCCTTGATTTCGTCTCAGGTCATGATCTCAGGGTCGTGAGATCCAGCCCCACATCAGGCTCTGTGCTAGGTGTGAAGCTTGCTTGGGATTCGGTCTCTCCCTCTCCTTCTGCCCTCCACCCCCTCTCCCACAAAAAAGAGTTGTGAAGGAAATTCTTAAATTATTATTGGAGAAAATATTAATTTTTTCAATGACTGTTAGGGAAAAGAAAATGGGTTCTCAGCAAGAGGAACTGCGCAAGTGGAAGGACTCAGGCAACCTCAGTTCTCTCCAGGGTCACGATTACGCCCAGGCCTCTGCAGTCTCATTTAACCAGTCCTAGCAATTCATCCTCAGATCAGAGTTCCTCATACTGTTCCTCAGCCTGACCCAAAACCCCAAATCAACATTCCAATTCCATAAGCATATTGTATATCAGGAATTAACTAGCTTTGGCCATCCCACAATGGTTTAGAAGACTCACACCACAAATTATGGGATTTTCAACTAAAAACTTGTGTATTCAACCCACAGGAAAATCAACAACGCTGACAAAATGCAGATCCAAGCTAGTAAAAAAGAGCATAACCAATGCAACCCGTGCAAGGTTCTATACAAATGCTGAAAAGCACCACCAGCAAAGACATGTCGGAAGGTAACATATAATGTACTGACTTTTAAGTAATAAGGCACTTTATGCTTTTCACAAAGAAAGTTTGGACTAATGAGCCACAGGTGTGCTCAGAATACTTCCCTCAGGGCTGCTTGTGTGGACTCAGGATACGCCAACCTCCGCCATGGTGGATGGCCTCGGGCTTATCTCTGGACTCCACAGGAGAGTCTCTGTCCAAGTAGACCTAGGACCATGGACTGCCCCCTAAATTCCTCTTGCCATCTTGTGACCACTGCATTAAGGCATCCCCTCACTGCATCCCTATAGCAACACCTGAGTTTGCTACTGGATATTGTTGAAGTCACCCACCCACCATCCCTCAAGGCCAGGTGAGTTGGTTTTCCCAACCAGGGGTGACGGTGCTTCCTCCTCTTGCTTATCTGTCCCATAGCAGAAGCTTGCCTCCCATCCAAGTTACGGATGTGAGTTATGACATCAGGCTTCCCCACTAGGTCTATAGTCAGTTGTGTCTGTCTAGCTTCATACGTCTGTCACTGTGAGAAGGAGTCAAACTCTTCCTGCACCCAAGAAGAGCTGTCACCGGGAAATTCTATATGTGACCACTGCAACCACTACAGAATTTTCAGATTTAGTCATATCTTTT